TCTAGTTAATAATGACATGATCAGATATTATCATTCATGCCTGTCTTTTCTGCCATGTGGTGAACTCCTGGGGGTAGGGAAGATGTCTATTTTACTCATCACTGTGTCTTTAGTACCCAGAACATAGTAAACACTGCTGAGTAAATATCTGAGGAATGAACAAATGAATAAAGACATCTAGTAAAGGCCTGAGGAAGTTAGGATGGAAGTGGCAAGGGACCCAGGACCCTGAGCCCAGCTGACATCATGGAGAGGGCATGGGCTCCCCGGTGCCTTACTTGTTGTATAGAACTATGTCTGGCTTCCAGATCTTCTTTGCAGGGACACGCATGAATTCTGCCCCGTCGTAGTCAGCAGGGTTCCACTTCAGCTTGTAGTCATTCCAGATCTGGTGGAGAGAGGAGGCAGGGAGACGGATCACCTCAGCTTTCCTTCTCTTGACACGACCCATCTTAGTGACTCCATATCCCTGCTGTGTGTCACTGACCCTGCTGGGCCACTGACCACAATGGCCCAGATAATCACGAGAGAGGAAGCACTCTACTCGGAGCCTGTAGACTGCCTCCTGGATCCAAGGGACACACTGCCTCTGTGACTGAGGACAGATCCAGCCCCTTTCCAGGCCTTCATCATTCAAATAAAGACAGTCAGTGCTTTCAGACCACATCCAGAACCAGGGTCCAGTCTCTATGTCTAAGCCAATTTCCACCCCCTGAAATTAGCCTTTTCAGACAAATTTCCCACCAAGCCAAAAAGAAATGTTCTTCATTTATGGAGTCCTCTTACACCTCTAGACTAAATGGGATTTCTCTCTGAAGGGCTCTGGGGCAGAGGCTGGGAGGTCTGAGCTGTGAGCACCCAGGAGGTGGAGGTGAGGCTGTGGCCATGGTGGACACAGCACCACAGGGCCCTGGGCAGGTGTCGCACTCACTGCTTCCCAGACTCCCGGGGAGGAGCTCAGCGGCGGGGCTGGTGGAAGGTCAGCGCAGTGCCAATGGCTCATTTAGACTGCACATCTGGACACATCCTGGGAGGACACAGTGGAGCCAATTTCTCTGGCCTCAATCTAACCAGGGAGAAACGGCACCCACCTCACCACCTCACTACTATTACCACAACCACCACCACCACCATCACCATCACCCAATTTAACATTAGGGTGGTAAGAAGTGGTCTCAAGCTCTCTCCCGGATTAGAGTCAGGACACTAACCAGGTTAGTCCCATTTTCTATCACCAAGTCTCTCCCTCTAGGCTGAAGCCTGTTCATCTGTGACTTGAGTAACTAGGCCTGTAGTTCTTGTAGGGCAACTGTAGCCTCAAAGCCCCTACAATACAGGGCCTTTGATTAACATCTATGCTGTGACTGCTTGTGTAGAGCTGGGTCACTGGTCTGCAAATAAAGCAAGCACCACCAGGGGGCGGCAGTGCCCAGACCTGTTTCACTTACTTGTTTCAGCCACAGGTTGGTCTCCATGATCTGGTTAACTTCATCCTGGAAAAAAAGAGATTAAGGCAGGCAGACTGGCAAAACATAAAACCAAGGCTGGTTCCAGGAGTCTCTTCCAGAAGCCCCGAGCCCCATGATGGCTCATGCCTCTAACACTCACCACCTTCACCAGTTGAGACATGGACACCTCAAATTGGATGATGACTGGATCAGACACGTTGGCAACCGGCCGGATGATCTCGTTGTAATCTTCAAATAGTCGCTCAAACAGACGATGCTCGGCCTCAGAGCTGCCAGCCACTGAAGGAAGCAGTCTTGTCAGACCCTGGGGAAATCATCACTTGTCCCCCAGCAAGGACATTGTCTACCTACGACCTCCCCTCTACTAACTAGGAGTGTCCTGTAGAACTCCAGATCTCAGGCTTGACCTGCCCTGCTGGGTTACAAATGGAGAGACTGAGTTCCATGGGTAGTCACCAGGTCACACACACACAGTGAGAGGCAGAGTGGTTAGAAACCTGGAAAGATCTGGTTCACACCTTGTGTGAGCTTAGGCCAGTGGCTCCCCAGAGAGTTGTTATGAGGATTAAATGAAACATCGCAAGCAATGTGTTTAGTTCAGTGCCTGGCACATACTGACAGCTCAAAAACAATTAGCTATCCAATCCCAAAGGCATATGGTTTGAATCTACCAGCTGGTCCACAGGAGAAGGATGGTCAATCTCTTCCTGTGAAATTTATTTACTGCCTCTGAAAACCCATTAGAGGGTCAGCTGTGGGTCCCTTCTAACTCAAAGCTCACACAACCACCCCGCCCTCGTTATCCTAGAGGGGAGGAACATACCTCATGGCCGGGTCACCCAGACCCAGCTGTTCTACCTCTCTGGCTGTAGTGGGAAATTACAGCCCAGGTCTGAGGTACCCCTTCAACCTACCCAGAATCTTACTCCTTTTTGATGCTATGGTGTCCACTGAGCTCTTATGGTTTCAGAATGTGACCCATGCCATCTTCACATTCTAATCAAAGGCCCTCACTTCTCAGAAAACCCTGAAGAACCGCTTTTCCTCCTTTGTCCGAAAGCCACACCCAACACGGATGGAGGCTCTTGGGTCGCAACCAGATGGAACGAGGAAGAGAGGAACCTTTGGGTAAGACCAACCAAACTCCTCTGGGCCTTGGAATGGTATCTTGCTTGCCCTGCTTCTCAGAACTAAAGAAGGGGGATGTGCAGCTCTGTGGCTCTGTGGGGGGCACAAGGCGCTCGTAACAGTGCGAGCTTCAGCATGAGGAGGGGGTGCAAACACACAGCAGAGTACACAACCACAAAGCCTTCTCCCCCAGCCTGCGCTGTGCGCCTGCAGGGAACCTCTTGCAGCCCTGCCACGTCCCCTGTTCCCTGCTATCCACCAACACAAACATAGGCAGGCCGGCATTTCACACCCTCCTAACAGCCTTCTAGTGGCGAGTCTGCGGGAGGTTCTCCCTCAGAGCTTATCAGGCCTCCCCTCCAGAGACCAAAACGGGAAGCAGGGAGAGGAGCTCCGCTCCGTGGATAGAGCTCTCCAAGAAACGCTGGTAGGAGCGCAGACAGCGTAAAACAGGTAGAGGGGGTTGGACCAGGTTCCCAAAGGAGCCCCAGCTCCGCCCTCAAACAGACTCACACACCCTCCTTTCATTCTCTGGGGTCTATTTCCCCACTCAACGTAACATGAAGCAGGCGATATTCACAGAATGGGAACAGAGGCCTTGGTGGTCCAGTCCCACCACGAGTGCGTCAAGTAGGGCCAGGAATCGAACCTACATTTCCTGAGCCTTCCCCTCGCCTCGCACGAACGAACGCACACAAATGAATGCACGCGGGTCCAGGTCCCGGGCAGTTATGGCCCCAGGCCGGGACCCGCCCTCAGCAGTCTTTCTCTCCTTTTCTCCTGCGCTCCGGGGGCACTCCACTGAGGAACCCGCGCCCCTGACTCGCCTCCTGGCTATCCGGCGTCCAGCCCCTCGTACCTGGCAGAAGCAGCAGCAGCAGAAGCAGCACCAGTGGCGGTGGCGACCGGAGCTGGGAGTGCCCCTGGGCGCGGGCTCCGCGTGCACGAGCGCCCATGGCTTTGGCCTGGGACGCAAACTCCGTGCAGCTCGGTGGGCCACGGAGCAGGGGGTCGGGGGCTAGAGCTCCTGGAAGATGTGGGCTGAGCCGATGCAGCGGGCGCAGCCGTCGGGGAGACAGCACCGCCCCGCCAGCACCCAGCGTTGCGAGGGGCGGGGACTCGAGGGTTCTGGGGAGCGCTGGCTCCTCCCGGCTCAACGCTAAGCTCTGGGCGGCAGGCCCCGCCCACAACCGAGGGTCTCGGAGCACCCAGCAGGGCACCTGGCAGAATGAAAGTGCAGCTTCCGAAGCCTCAGAAGCGCGTGGTGAGGGCAAGAAGGTGCGCTGGCACTAAAGAGCAGGACTTCACTGGCCACGCGCTAGGATTTCGGTGGAGCAAAGCCCCCCTCCTTTTGGACCCTTTATTACTCTTACGCACTGCAGTCTGGTCTAAGTGGTTGTGATTCACTTTCTGTAGAGTTTCAGAGGCTATAACGAAATCTTAAGAAGAGGAGATTGACTGCCCATCTTCCTCCTGTTGGAGCAGCAAGTGGATTCGAACTTCTGTAGAGGCAACCTTATGGCTGATGGTGCAGCTCTCCACAGGCTATGCGCAGGGGTCTGCCTTGTATCACAGGAGGTAAATCCTCCTCTTGGTATCCCAACAAACGGTTAAATTCTTTCTTATTTCTAGGACAGGAGCCCTAGACTTCTCCGGGAAATATTTACAAGAGTTAGACCCACCCCTCAGGCCCTCATGTGAAGCATTTTTATTTTCCTAACCAAAGAATCCTCCACACAGAAAATATTTGTAAATCACATACTTCACAAAGGACTTGAATGAATAAATAAATAAATAACTGTACGTGTGTGTGCGCGTGCATACACATATATATGTGTGTATGTGTGTGTGTGTGTGTG